CCCCCCACCACCTTAAATAATATTTCAATAACATTAACATCATGATATAGGGAAGATGGGCATCTAGACTGATTTAAATACTTCCTAATGGGCTTAGACTTAGCTGAGCCACATCCCAACTTTAACAAGAGTGTTAATACGTTATAAAACTTTTTACGAAATACATGTAAGTAAATTAACATATTAAGTGCATAATTACTATCTGATGCAGTGTGTATACGGTCTTTATCGATAGGCGAAATGTCCCGGATCGAGTGACATAAAAAAATAGCTTGACAAAGGGACCAGACGGTCTTGAACCGTTACGACACCTTCAATACGTACATGAAAGTAAAACTTCAACTTCAATATAAATATTACACATTTTTAAGGGGCGTCTTTAGGTGCGTCTTTCTACTGATCAAAAACAATATGAAATTATATGAAAATTGTTATTAATTGCTCTTTGAAAGTAACATATAAGGGGCTATGTAAACAAGTTTTAATTGTATCAACATTGTTTTATAAATCACTGATGGCAAATAGCAACATTACATAACACTGAGTGTGGAAGATGTGGCTATGTTAAAAGTAAGAAACGGATACCGTGCTGTAAATGATGTAATAGATGAATTAAATTTTAATGTCACCCATGCTATAAATGACATCAATCGATATATATGAAATCTTACTACGTTCATTATCCAAGTACGTATGAGCTTATGAGGTAAATCATAACTTATAATTATCAGGTATATTATCCGAATATGTATGTAGTTACTAGGGAAAAAATTGTATTCAATTTTAATGTGTATAGTCATCGAAATCCACTTTGTTTGTTTGTATACATTTATTAGAGTCAAGTCAAGTCAATTTTGTTTATTATAGTATCATATATCTCAATTACATCGTACAAGTATATAGTTACACAGTATAAAAACATATAGTTACATAACAGGAATCAATCATCTTAATGTAAAAATATATAGACCATATCATAATTTTGTTAAGAACAGGTATAATACGTAATATGGCAATAATTTAAAACAAACTATCACAGATTCCAATCCAAAGAGCAGGTGATTGGGACAGCCCCTACCTACCAAGCTCTCTGGATTTTGTACTTACATATCATTATATACCATAATAAATAAAAGGTTTCTTTTACATTTAACTACATTAAAACATGATGTATTTAAAAAATATATATATTAGATAAGTTATAATAGTCAGAAGCTGATAAGTCAAACCATGAATGTTTACTGCGATATTTTAATGCTCTGTCTTAACAGCATATTGAATTATTTAGAACAAGGATAATATTCTGTATTTAGTATCTGCTAGTTGGATTTGTACGTGTTAATGGTACGTGTTAACGAATATGTTAGTTAGACATAGTAATTGTATTAGATTTATCAATTAAATTAGTACGTGTATAATATATTGCGTTTAACTATCTATTAACTAGATTATTACGTGTTAATGTTATGCGTAAATTACCTGTTAAATAGATAAGTTAATGAAGATGTATATCTATCATTTTCTTTTGTTCTGAAATGACTAAAAGAAGTCATAATTTTCCTCATGATAACACAGACTTTATATAAATAAATGTTTCTTTCTGATCAATACGTGTTTCAAGAGCTAAACGGAATCAATTGTATAATACCTTTGATATGTAGTCATGACGTTCAGAACTAACATTAAGATAAAATGTATAGAAATGATAATGTGATACCATACCTTTCTTTACACTCAAGGCCGATTCAATAAAACAGATAATGACACACACGCTAAGGAAATGGCTCCGTATCAGCATCTTCCAGTATATACCGGTTCCATAAATATATAAAAAAACATACGAAAGAAATTGTTTCTGAAGGCTTACGTCTCTTTCTGATAGCTTATACTGAACGGTGTACAGTACGTCTCGACACTATAATGTTTAGGGCTTAAAACCAAAAGATTGGTACGATGTTAGATACAACACCAGTAACTTAGTACAGGTATCACGTTTCCGTATCTATTTTGTTTCTTTGGAAATATGAATTATGTATCGTAACAATGCGAGCCCTAAAACAATGTACCACTGGTATAGGTAGCCACAGTGTGTATTGTCTTAATCAAGCATAATCTGCTCATAGACTCACGGGGACAGATGCGAAGCATTGTCAGCTTGAAATGTCTTAATGTAAATATGATTAAAAAAAAAGTATTACTTCCTGTCGTTATAATGCGTCAGCTAACATGTTGATTTAACGTGTGTTTTTCCTCAATTAACAACAGTGTTTATTGGAATGTTTTTATGTTTTTTTTGCAACACAAATATCATTTACAGATTAGGAAATATCACTTGGGTCAGATTGACTCATACAAATGTATAGAGATCTTGTGTCCTCTCACCTATTCTATCCTGTGATCACATGCCTGTTAATGCACACAGATGTATTGAAAACTCATTCCAATACAATAGATTTAAATACCCCGTAGAATCTTGATTTACAGTAACTCAGAAACCATGACATATAAAACACTGGATCGGTCTTCATACACTAACGGTTTGGCTTGTTTGTGTTTTACGCTCTATTAACAGCTATGGTCATTTAAGGACATGCCAGGTTTTGTGGTGGAGGAAAGCCGGAGTTTCCGTAGAAAAACCGCCGACCTACGCCCAGACCCTGGCGACTGCCCCACGTAGGTCTCGAACCCGTGAACCAGTGGTGGAGGGCTAGTGGAAGCATAATACCAGACGCCTTAACCGCTTGGCCACCGTGGTCCCCTACACTAAAGAAAATTACCAGAACTGCACAGCTGTGGTGGTATTGTAAAAAATCAAATGGCTTAAAAGCATTTGACTGTACAGATTGTAATAACTGAAATGTTTGATATATAATCACATTATCAGGTTTAAAAAAATATCTTAATACTTGTAAAAAATGTACATGTTAATTTGAATAATTGGGAATGGTGCAAACAAAGCCAGGTAGAACGGAGTGACGGGCAAGTTATTTGTAGCTGTTAATGAAAAATAGTAAAAAAAAATTATCAACAGAGAAATTAGCAAATATGTTCATATTTTTAATCATTGTAGATTATATACATTCGGCGCGTTAACCTTCCTCCTCTGAAACTTGGTCTTCAATAATAAAATATCGTGTTACGAACAGCTAAGCCTGGTACCGATGTCTCGTCATAATTATATATAGATTTATCAACGTTGTGCAGGTTTTAGTTGTACGAGCGGTTTTATACTACCGTCTAGGTATTGTCAGTAAGTGTGATAACCTAATGATTAATGACATCTTGATGAAGGTTTGTATTACCTGAAGATATCACTGGGTCTTAATTCCAACCCATAATTACGTCATCTTTTCTAAGAGTGCTAAAGGGTTAAAATTATCTCTGTGTGCAATGCTATGAATTTGATGTTATCGAAATGATCGTAATCCTAAGTATTACTGACATTTTAGTTATTAATGATGGCCTTTTCAGATATTCTTATTTTGTTTCTAAAATTAACTATATCTGCAATAGATATTCTAGCGTGGACATCATTGTTTTATTTTGGTGAGATTAATTAATATTAGTTAGATATGCACTGTTTTAAAAATATTGAAATAGCTGATTGAATAAAAGATTAAAAAGAAGATAATGTCCAAATTTTACAGGCGACTTCGGTGAAGGTAGTCATATGTGTTACAGGAAACGTTGACCATACATCAACACTTGTTTTTCAGTTCCTGTTTGTAACATCCTCGATGTCCAGGGGTTACGTTCCCTTTCGCTCTCTACACCCCTGGAATATGTCATAGCAAAATTAAAGGCTCGGTGTGCGCCACCTTGTTATGAGACAAGGAGAATAGTTCGATCGTTTGATATACATCAAAAGAATCTCGCGGTCACGTAACGGTAAAAATTGACAGGCTTTGAAGTCGGGCGTCTCTCCTTTGTAATATTCAAAGGACATGTATCAGCCTGGCGATTGGTGAGTTTGTTTGACCTGAGACCAATCAAACAGCTATCTTCGTGCCTTCAATTTTGCTATGACATATTCCAGGGGTGTAGAAAGCGAAAGTGAGCGCAACCCCTGGATATCGAGGATGTGCTCAAGTTTGCTTTTCTTCTCGTTTCTCTTCAGGTTTGTTGATGTCCTTAAGTGCTGATGCAGCAGTATTTCATTTCTAGACAATATTACGCAGTAAAATATTTCCTGATTCTGCGATACTTTGCGGTGATAGACGACGAAAGACCTCATAAGTAAACGTTAATATAAAGACACTTCATTTATTCTCCAGAAAGTAAAGTCAATGATATTGCTGTTGTCCATTTTAGTCCTGTAGTTATTTTGCTTTGTTAATAGACATTAACCAACTTAATACCTTAAAGTGTACTAACAGAAGTATTTGTCTTGACAATAATGTACCGAATTCCTGAATATAACATATTTTGTACATGTACCATATTTTACACTGCATTTCCGTTACTCTCATCTAACTTTCCCTGTAATTTATTCACGGCACTGTCCCTAAGCTATGTTAATGTTGGTTACGATGAAAGGTAACAGATTAATATAAGTGCATTAACACTTGTTTCTGTCTACAATTAATTTATGTTCAATAACGTTTGTATTTTGTATTACATATGTGATGCGAATAAAACAAAGTTTGAGTCAACTTAATAACAGTGACGTTCGTGTTTCTAACGATCTCTCTCACCACTCTATCCTAACACAATTCTTGGCTTGCCTTTTCCTTATAACATCCGTCGATAATGAAATACCCATGTCAGTATTGATGATCTAACTCCATATTCTGTTTTCTATTTAACAGGGTTTTCGTTATATATTTGTCCTGACCGATTGATTACCAAACTAAGGTTTTCTTCCAAACATACTTTAATCCTTGCGGTCGTGGACCTCATTTCCAAAAGTAAGATTTTATTGTCTTCCTTGAGTAAAGACTGATTTGTTTATTTGTTTTTAAAGACCTACTCTCCCGGATTTGACAAGAGACATCATAGGATCCACATGTGATAAGGAAACGCTTACCAAAAGGAATGTTTCCCTGGCGTTTTTCTAGTGGGGTTCTTCATTACTGTTCTTTTGGTGTTGTCTCGGGGGGGGGGTTCCATTTTTTTTTTCCATTTTTTTTTTTCATTTTTTTTATTCTTATCGATTACGTCGACGCTAGCGCTGTTGAAAAAAAAATTGAATTTTAATTTATTTAAAACAAAGAAATGAGTAGTTCGTAACCATTCGAGGGAAAGTTAACCCAGTTGTAGCAGGTATCTGTTGTGTCAGAGTTTTGTATTGATCACACATGCTAATATTCAAATACAGTCTATTCTATAGGCATTTGTACCTTGCAGCAAGTATGTTCATAGTCTACTTAGTCTAGTGACACGAAACAAGTATTTCCTTAAATACATATTAAAAGGTTTGTGGCTCATAATTTACCATGAATACATAGAGATTTTTTTTGTGAATTTTTTACCATCATATGAGGCTTTGGAAACACATAAAAACACCACACCACACTCAGAATAACATAATACCAAACTCAGAATTACACAACACCAAAATTCCCAAAAGGTTCAAGACTCAAAATAACATTAACTCTGAACTCATAATAACCTATTACCATACTCAAAAAAACGTAATACCAAACTCTGAAAACATATCAGAAAACTCAAAATAAACTAACGGAAGTTTTGAATTGAGCGGTTTTCAACGATCAATCTGATATTTGTAACAATACTTTTATAATTTGCATGCATGTATCCGGTCCTTTGATATTCGTCAACGCAGATTATGATAGGGGTTATTCCCCTTCCTACCCAAACAATCTGCTTTTCAGGGGCCCCTACAGTTTTCACACGAGTTCATGATCGGTGCTCTAGATTACAATAAATTCAAGTGATGAAATTGCTTTGCGTAGACCGAACATTTTATGGAGCTATTTGTTTGTGACAATAGTGGGTACAATGTATAATTTCTATAATTATCATATCATATGTCTTTTTCAATAAGTTTTATTAAAACGTACCATCATACCACGTATCATTAAACAAAATCGAGATATTGACATTTTGGATGGTCGGTTGCGTCGTGGAGTAGATTGAATGCCCGATATTCGCCAAACGGATCGGGTTCGAATTCCAGATCGGACGTGAAAATTGTATGAGGGTTCATTGCCCGACGAATCGTGTTTACTCCGGGTATTCCGGCTTCCTACCACGTTAAGTCCACCTGAGTGATGACATCCGGGCCAACAAGAATGATTAATACAGGTACTTAAAACTAGTAACACTGTACACTGTTCTATTATTTCATGAAGTTGATGGTTTATATCATTAATTATATGTAATGGACCATTATAGATATCAGCAAATGAAGCGCACTTGTTGTAGCCAATACTTATCTCACAGTTCTATTTGTCAGTAGCTGAGGGTCTGCTTTTGTTATTGTCACATAGTCTACGTAGATTCGAATACCAAGTTTTATAACTCCTATTACACTTAAGTTAGTATGAACTGCATGTTATATCTCAATTACTTATGTATTGTAAATAAAATGTATATATCTGTATGTCTATATACAACCAAGGAAAGGACCCATATAGTTACTTAGTATTTCAGTACTTTGGACACACTTCATGACGCCTGTCGTCAATATGTCGAAATAAAAATTATATCTGACAAAGGTTTACATGAGCATGGATATTTGGAGAGAGAAAAAAGAAGAATGTCATTAAAAACCAATAACAGAAATTAACAGCAGTTGAATAACTTTAATTGATTGAATATATTTATAAATTGACATGTGCTAAGAGCAAAACAGATCTACTTACTCAAAGTCACAAAAAAACCAGCGAAAGACAAGAATATACATTATGTAGGCTTAATTGCTAACATTTTATCACATAGATATCACATTATGAAAAAACGGTTTCAAAATAATTAACTTAATAAACGTATGCATTAAAAGAAATTAACAAAACATCAATATATTTCTCGATGATGAACTATGTTAAATTATATTATCTTCTATTGAGTTGTGAATACAAATGATCAATGGCTTTTCTCTTTTGTTTATAAAATTCCCATCCGTATTGCTTTGATTTGTTGTAAAATAGCCCATTGTTAATAAAATACGGTTAATCATTTATAGTAAAATCGCTAAACATGTATCATAGCGTCGACAAACAATGACATAAACGTACCTCAACGGCAGCAGACGAATTAAAGGAGAACCCAAATCAAATGGAAATTATCATGGATTCACATAGAAATAAGTAGCATGAACCCCAACATAAATAACATGGGTGGTCGGGTGGTGCAGTGGACAGCGCACTGGCCTTTCACCAAGGCGGTCGGGGTTCGACTCCTTGATCGGACGTGAAAAGGTATGGGGTCACCTGCACGACCACGTGAGTTTTCTCCGAGTTCTCCGGTTTCCTCCCACACTAAGATCCCCCCACGCCAACTTCCGGGCCATCAAGAGTGATTAATATAAGTTGAAATAACTTGCTTCATAGTTGTTGTAAAATAAATAAAGTTTACATTTAACATAAATAAGTTACAAAAGGCCACGGACTCAAATACACATCAGTGGCATGAACCCTACACAAACTGGTGGCATCGAGCCAGGGACAAACGGTCAAGTGCCACTGAAGGGTAAGTGTAACATAGAATCCCATGATATTATTACTTTTAAATGATAAAGATGAACATAATGCGACCTGCTCTTACGTGGTGCAATGATTGAATGAACCACTCATAATATTCATATAAGGAGATACAACGAAAAACCAGATTTTGAATACTTGCATGCTCGCAAAAGCCGGTTTTACAAAAAAGATCATTTTATTTTTTTCAGTTGAAATTCACCTACATTTGACATTTTCTATTGCTATTCCTTCACATGAAAATGTGAATTAATGTATATTTGTTTTTATCTAAAAACGATTTTTTTCTAAAACTACTTTTATTAAAAGGTGAATTTAACAAAAACATTCATGATTTTTTCAGTCTCAAAAAGAATAGAACATATTTTTACGAGGAGGTATTTGTAAACGAATACATTGTCTCTTTTCACATGAAAATCGTTTGATTATTTGAACATAAACTCATGGGTGAATGTAGATGAAAGAATCCTATTTTTATGATGAATATCACATTGTCGAATAAACAGATCTCAGGCATTGAATTATAATTAAATCAGTTTTAAACCAATATAAGATAATTAAAAAAAAAAATTGTCAACGGAAGTAGTTCAAGGCATAGCTGATGAACATTTCCCTGAGTCTTGTTTCCATCTAGGTCTTCAGTCTTGGTGTATCGCAGAATATTACCGTTCCTAAAAACCCCATCATGGACCGCTCTTCGAAATGTCAACCACTCTAGACGAAACAAAAGAATTCATGAAACGTATACATAAACAGTTTTATCACATAACTGACCCATGTTACTATGTCTTACGGCCATGTCTTACACACGTATAATAAAACCTTAAGGTGCTGCGATTGGTCGAACCCTTGAGATCATATTCCTACGCCACTACGGGTACTACTTTTATTTATGATACCACATGGTACATTCACTGTTATTCTAAATGAATTTGAAATGTTCATTTTGTCATTATCATTCTCAATCCATTCAAAACTAATCATTATCGAAAATAATGAACTGGCACTACTTTGTCACTGCGCGGAACGACAATACTATAATCGGAGTATTTTGGTTCTGTTGTATATAGAGTCACCTGATAAAACATAATTACGTTTGCAGATATTTTTCAAATTATGAATGTTATGTGATAAACAAAATCTTACATTCGTGTCAATGTTATAATTGAATTTATTAAACTCTTTCACTAAATTGATATTGCACTCGCCTAAAGGCTCGTGTCATATGAAATTATTGAACTTGTATAATAAATTAAATGTGACATGGCCACTCATGTTAGATCCTCTATATATCACATAACTGTACTCTTGTCAGTGTCGTAACAGATTTATAGAACAGTTGTTATAATCACGTGCTAAAATACTCCACGCGGGCTGTGCTTGGCTGTAGGTTGCCATTGTTTCAATTATGACGTCACAAATTCATAGTTTAGAATCGACACAAAAGAGAACGGTTTGGAGTCGAAACGTGAATATTTATTCTTTTGATTTTCCGCCAGCACGAGAAAATATATCTTTCGCGAATATTGACTATGCGATAAACAGAATCTTACGAGAATTTCTATTTCATATCAGATATATGAAAATAGTCATCGACAGAAAAGTATAAGAAAGTTCGATAAATCGTACATGAAACTGAATCCCATATTAATTCCTCTGTGTAGCGGATTTATCACAGTAGTCGTTCAGTTAACATATATTAACGTTGATGTTATGAATACAGTTGTGCTAACAGTAAGAACAAGGTCATCACACATCGATATTGCCGCGCGTGTTGAACCTTACAGAACCGAACACTCCACGTTGTTTGATGATAAACATCACATATCATCTATACAAACCAGGTATGAAAGTAAAGTAATTGAAATAATAGGAAATAACGGCAATTGAGGTGTATTAATAAGGGTAAACTTGACGATAACATTATACAACCAATATCTATTTAAACATGTAACAATTAACAAAACCTCTTTTGCTGTCGGTCGACCTCCTGGTTTGAACGGCAATATCATCAAAGAAGCAAGGCATAGTAAGATTGCTTTTCAAGTACACTTCTGTTCAGTATGCAATGGGGGTCAAGTAATGGTTAACGTTACTTGGGCTTAAATCATGTTTTTATTTTTGTGTGCTTAGTGGTAGCACTAAACCTAAGCAATTTACGAACTCTGAGCTCATGTTTCTATGTGTTAAGTCTTACTGCTTATCATAGCGTTTCTGTGTGATATCCATATTGCTAAACTAACTACATGTTCATGTTTTAAGTGTTAAGAAACTCCTGTAATGTGTTTAGTCATAGTGCTCTCCTAAACCTAGCGTTCTGTGTGTAAAACCATACAGTTTACCTGAGTTCGTGCTTCTTGTATAAAGTGACCTAAGATTATGTTTACTGTGTCACGTCATGCGGCTAATACTGAAGTTTTTGTGTGTTAAAGTCAAACGGCACATGCTAAACTACTCATGTTTCTGTTTAGTTTAAACAATATTTTATTCAATATAATCAACAATATTACAAATACAACTATAAATATGGGATGGGAAAACAAGCTTGGAGCTTATATTAATTCCTTTCCCAAAAAAATCAAAAGGCAAATGAATCTTCGGTATTGGAGTACACCTTATTTCAATATGGAATGCATAATAATAACGTTTAACAGATAACATATATACATGTACATGTGGTGAATAGAATTGATAATAAACATGATTTATGACGCCATAAATTGCTAGTCTGTAAGTACAGGTCACCTTATTGTACTGAGTACCGTTAAATGATACATCACATTAAGTTTCCATATTCAAAACAATTGGTACAAAAATATTAGCTAAAACGTTTACTTAATTTAATATAATTTTGGACTGTCAAAAATATTTCCTCATTTTTCTGTTTGGAGTATTATCATTACCCCATAGAAGTGTTTTTCAGTAAGAATAATATCTAACTGATGTAGTGTACTTTGTCTGATTGTGGTATAATTGTCACAAGATAGTAAAAAATGATGGGTACTTTCAACTAATCCGCAGTTACATAATGGACTTTCCTCTAAATTTCTTAAGTATAAGTGTTGTTTAAGATTACTACATTTAAGCCTTAATCCTGTATGTGAAATTTGAAGATGTCCACTTCCAATGTTAAAATATTGAGGGATTATTACTTTATCCTTTCGTAAAAAACTTTTAATTATGTTAACGGACGGATTTTCACGAATATCTACAGGTAATGCATTCCATAATTGTACAGAGGAATTTAAAAACGAGTCTTTATAAAATTGAGTTCTACATCTAACAGAATGTAAATTGTTTGAATTGCTAGTATTATGCATATGACTATCTGATACTTTCCCTGGGATTAAGCTTGAGAGATAAGATGGAGTTTTCTTATGATACATTTTGTGGAACTGTAAGATTTTATGATTTTCCCGTCTGTTAGATCATTTTTCCCAGCCCACATCTTTATACAAAAACCTAACACTTGACAATTTTGTAGCACCTGTTACTATTCTCGCAGCTTCTATCTGGACGTTTTCTTAATGTTGACATAGATAGTTTGGTTAATTGTCCCAGACAATATCAGAGTATTACACAAAATTGGTCTAATGAAAGAAAAATACATTGTTTGAAGAGAATTCCTATCAAGAGTGTTTCTTTAATTTCTTAATATAGCTAGTCTTGGTGATACTTTTTTCAATATATAATCAACGTGATTTTTCCAAGAACCATCATCCCCCAACAAAACTCCTAACTGTTTATGAAATTTTATACATTAATATTGTTCATAGTTATAGGTTCATAAATTCCTTGTATGGTTTTCCTGCTTATTAATAACAATTCTGTCTTGTCTGGATTGAATTTTACTAAGCACTTTTTTGCCCATGTGTGTATCCTTGAATGATCATTATTTATAGTATTAACAGCGACGGTAGGATTTTCAACTAATATATACAAGGCAGTGTCATCAGCATATAATTTTATTCTACAATTGATATCATTCACTATATCATTAATATAAACCAGAAAGAATAGAGGACCTAAGATTGAACCTTGAGGTTCGCCTGCTTTAATATTATAAGTTTCCGAAGAAAGCCCATTTATAACAACTCTTTGACTTCTGTCAGATAAATATTTTCACACCAAGATAATAATTTCCAAGAGATACCTGATTTTTTTAATTTCTGTACAAGACCCCTATGCCAAACTCGATCAAATGCTTTACTTATGTCGCAAAATACAGTTATAACTTCTTTACCCGCATCCAAAGCCCTCCCGATATCGTTTGCAATGTCTTATAATTGATTAATTGCAGAATCCCCAGGTGTGAAGCCTGATTGACATTAAGTGAAATAATTTGTGTCTCTAAAAACATTGTAAACATGTTTAAAAATTCACCTTTCCATAAGTTTGCCAACAATACTTATCAAAGATATAGGTCTATAGTTTGAAACAATAGATTTATTACCTTTTTAAAAAACTGGTGTAACATTAGCTACTTTCCTAATTGAAGGATATATACCGCAGTCGATGGATTTGTTATTTTTTTTAGTAAGAATTGAAATCACTGACTCGGTTTTTGCTTCTTTAATTATTCGTGGACTTACATAATCAGGACCTGAAGCTTTAGAGATATCTTACATACTTGTTGCATCTTCAACATCTTGTTCCGTAATGATACTATTTTCAAGTTTATTTTCAGGAGTAATTAAATTACCTGGTAATGTGACATGAGAGTCGTCAATTGTAGACTGACTTAGAAGGTAATTATCGAAAAGACCTGCTTTTTGTTTATCATCCCAATAGTTTGCATTATTATGTATCAATGTTGGTATATGAGATGTTTTGGTTGACAAATTTGTGAAAGTGTTAATCAGTTTCCACCAATCTCGTGTCGATGTAGACATATATTTTATTTTACCAGTAACTTTAAAATATATTCACTTTTTGCTTTCCTAATCGCATCGACACATGTATTTCTTGCCTGTTTAAATCGCTGCCAATAATATGGAGTGTGTGTGAGTTTAGCTTTCCGATGTAGTCTTTTCCGAACCCTTATTAATTTCCTAACTTCATTATGCATCCATGGTGGTTCATTATGTCATTATAGCGAATTCATCAATGGTCAAGTTTTCAAGTGGGCCATTCCAGTCAATATCATTTAAACTATCACAAAACATTTTATAATCTCCATTCTTATATAACCAAATATGCCTTTCAATATTTGTATTAAGAGTATTACGACCAATATCTAAGAATGTGTAGATGGGACAGTGATATCTAGTATCAGCAGGTAAAAAACGATTCGCCAAAAACAACTTTTTTAATAACATTTAAATCATTTGTCATAAATATATCTAAAAGAGAGGATGAGTGTTCTGTAAAATGAGTAGGTTCGTCAACAAGTTGAATGGTATCATATCTTTACATTATATCAATAATACGACTAGGGTTAATAGCTAGCTGATTTTCATTAAAATCACCTGTAATTAGAATACTATCAGATTTATAATTAGCCACCAGATCAATAGAATGATCAATTAAATTCCAAGTTTCATTTCGTGAGTTTGGTGGTCTATAAAAAGTTCCCAACATAATAATTTTGTTATTTATCTACAATTCAACCCAAATGCATTCAAGATTATTTATTTCAAATTCTGAACGTCGAATCGCCGTGATATTTTTGTTAACGTACACAGCAATACCTCCACCAACCCTATCTGACCGTGATTTTTTTACAAATGGGTCATGGAATTTTGAATTAAAAAGTTCACTTGATTTTTCTGTATTCGGTGATAACCAAGTCTCAGTTAATGATAAAATACCATATTGTTGTAGTTCACTAAATATTAAATCAGTTTTTAGTAATAAACTCTGGACGTTGTAGTGTACTAGTGATAAATAATCTTGGTTAAGAATCGTTAAATTAGAAAAGGAGGAGGAATATTCAGGACCTGGATTACTTTCAACATCTCCACAGCGAAGGAGTAATTTTTGAAGACAGGTAAGCAATAATATACACATTTTAGATGAAAAACTTTCTACAGCATATACACACACGTATACGAAGTCTGGGCACGACCCACAACGTAAGAAAGGGTACATAATGTAAGAAAGACATGGCAGTAATATGTAGTACACAGTATCAGTGTGATCGTTCAACTTCTTAATAGTACACAAGTCTTTTGAAGGTTTATTCGGAACAAGCATATATATAATTACTATGATAGGTAGTGCATTGATTTTGTATACTGAAAGTAAATTGATTCCTAAAATACAAGGTAAATCTAGTTGCTTTCTCAAAGGTAACCTACTTGACCTCGCATGATACAACCCGATACGGACACGGTGAGATAAATACACATAGTAAGGATATATCCGTGTCCAAAAATACCCAGTTCGCAACAGTCGAGGTTCACATGTTAAAAAATAGCGCCATTCAATTACATAATAAATAGAGTTTGGTAGTACTGCTGATTTATAAGTAGTATGCATAAGGTAAGTTTCGTGATTCACCACAGTACAAAAACATAATAGGTTTCTGTTTGTTAAGTCATACGGCCTATGCTAAACTTATATTTCTGTGTTCATGTCATGCTCCTGAACCTAAGCACATATTTCGGCATAATGATATCAACGATTATTTTGTACGCTTTTGTAGTTAAACGAACTTTGCCAAACATGACTGTAATTATAAAATATATATATACTTTTACGTTTTTTACTTTTTTAATTAAGAAAACGTAATATGACCAAACAAAATGCTATTTACCTATCGTCGGGTTGATTCAAAGACGTAAGTTCCGAAAACAAATTTCGTATCGCCTATATTGTGAGCAGTGATATCTCCAATGTCCTCAATAACAAGCAGATGATTGTAAAAGATCATAAACTAAAACTGCACACCTCTAAGCTGTTGGCTAGGTCCACAGGCGCGCATAAAGAAACGGTGCCATTAAAGCAACATCTAATTCTTCATATTTCTAATGTAATGCAAAATAAACAAGGTTTCAACGAAGTACAAAAGTAGTTCAAATCACCAGAAACATATATTTTCCGTGTTGTGTTACTAACAGTACGTAATGGACCTACTTACTGGTTTTGTGCTACTTAACAGGAATAATAAACCTACTAACCCGATTTTCCTCTGGCCCTAACACCAGACTAAGACATTTTGACTTATAGATGTCAAAATGTCTAATCTGGTGTTAGGGCCAGAGATAACTCGGCTTAATGAATCGACCTAACCATTGTGTATTTCGAAGGAGAGGTGGAACTACTGACTGAGTATGTGTTGGTCTGGCTTGTTGTTTATTGGTAAATAGTGGTGTGGGGTACCATCAACTATCAGCGATAGGAGCTGATTTATTGTGTGGAGCTAATGAATAGAACAACTTACTGGTTGTATGTCAATTAAAGGCGTGTGTAGACTGAAATACTTACTGGTTGTTTGTCAAATAAAGGCGTGTGTAGACTGAAATACCTACTGGTTGTTTGTCAATTAAAGGCGTGTGTAGACAAAAATACTTACTGTTTGTTTGTCAATTAAAGGCGTGTGTAGACTGAAATACTTACTGGTTGTTTGTCAAATAAAGGCATGTGTAGATTGAAATACTTACTGGTTGTTTGTCAATTAAAGGCTTGTGTAGGCTGAAATACTTACTGGTTGTTTGTCAATTAAAGGCGTGTGTAGGCTGAAATACTTACTGGTTGTTTGCCAATTAAAGGCGTGAATAGACTGAAATACTTACTTGTTGGCAAGTTTCTTATACCTGTAGATAGCGGCCGCGACCGTCAATGACACTACTACCGCTCCAGCCGTAGCACCTCCTGCTATCGCCGGGATGTTGTCTTTAACACCAAAAACCAAGTTAGCGTTCGTAGTATAGTTAGTGTAACGGAAAAACAATTTAGGACGGTTAATAATCCAAAAATATATTTATATTACATTTTTTTACAGGTGAAATATAAGGAATATTCCATTTTATAAAAAAACACACTGATATGTCCAATGCGGTTAAGATAAACGAAATTACAATTAGCACGATGCTTTCTATTCACTACGTATATTTTTAGTTTCAAGTTCAGATGAAGCGACGGCAGAATAAGTGGTTGTTTTCGTACACCTTTACAGCATAAATTATGTTTTTTACATAATTTCACATTTGGTATCACTTAAGTCTGGAAATCTACCGATATTTCGTGAAAAATATCGCTTACCTTCAATACCTGTGAAATATATATGGTATTTCAACGAGGAACCATTAAATACCCTCTCTATATATCAATACATGAATAATTACAACCTTCAGTAGATTATAGGCAAGATGATGTCTATACAGCACGGCCGTTTCTATGATAAATTGTAAGGTTGAAATGTAGTAAAATCAATGAAACTAGAAAGACAGTTCTGAATAGTTCTCTGTACCTTCTGCAAAACTTGAGGATGCTTGTACATCGGCGACAATAGCCGCTGTTGTGGTGCCTGTAGTAGTGGTGCCCGTAGCCGTGGTAGTTGTCGGCGTGGTGGTGGTTGTTGTGGGCGTGGTTGTAGTCGTTGTGGGCGTGGTGGTGGTGGTTGTGGGCGTGGTTGTAGTCGTTGTGGGCGTGGTTGTAGTTGTTGTGGCTGTGGTTGTTGTTGTTACTACGCCGCCCTTACCAACAAAGACGGTCGTAGTTGTTTGAGTACAGTCACTTGCTACAGACACAGTAACGGAACTATCTGCAAACAAACAACCAATAACTTGTTTAAGGTGGTTCATATATATTTTTTTTAAACATGTATGTTTAATTACTGCTCGATACCCAAACATGTAATTAGGTATTGTTCGATTTTATTTAATTCTGGATGATTGTAAAGCTTAACACTTGTGAAAATTATTGTATTCACGAATTCACATTTACTCGTGCGCTACACAAATGAGTGGACGTGTGCAACTGCGCAATAACTCGTACCAAGTGTAGTTTGTGACGACAGATGAATACACATGTACGGTACGGATAACATATTTATAGCTACAGTTACCGTATACATTGAATGTTTGTGATATGGAATATGTGAATACAAGACATGACCGTCTCGGAATACATAGAGAATAATGCATGCCTTTTTCCATATCACACCCAGGATCAACCCGAGACTGCAATATCAGCCCAAGGGCCGAAGGCCCGAGGGCTGATATTGGTCGAGGGTGTGATTTGGAAAAAGGCGTGTTTTATTCTGTTTCTTACCTACTTACTAATAAAAACTACTATCTTGTGATCTATTTTTCTTTTTGAAATATTGAAAAACGAAAAAAAAATCCAAAAGGGGTGTGATATGGGTTTTGCGGGCTGATACGGGTTTTGGGGTGTGATACGGCGGGGACTGATACGGGTTTTGGGGTGTGATACGGCGAGGGCTGATATGGGTTAGAGGAAATGTGTCGTATCGCATATACCATAAACCCGTATGTATTAGTAAGTAAGCAATAATATTCAATATACATCCCAAAGCTCTACCGGAAAAACAAAAATTGACAACAAAAGTGAAGTAATGACGTCAAGTTACAATCAAAAGAAAGTGATATGTTTTCAAGGGTGGATAAACGATATATGTATCAATTGCTGAATTATTTTGACTTTGACAAAGATTCTAAAGTATATCTTTAAAAGTAGTTTTTATAATTCATCGCCTCCAGTAGAGAGCTATATATCCAGAACTTTGTCCTTGACATAACACCCTGCTTTAATTACACAACGTCACACATATAGTTTTAGTATATAATCTCACCTATTTTTACTGCAAGCGTTGGCACAAGATTACATATATACAGGAAGGAAGTGACGTACATAACATTATCTGCATCCGGGTCACTAGCAATATGCAACAGTTCATCTGTGGAAGAGCTGAGGTCGGCTCCTATACCTATCACGTAGATAATACTGTCGTTTATGGAACTCCGTATAAGGTTAGCTGCTGTGGTTGTTTGCGCTGTATTCTGAGAGAGTCCATCTGTCATAACGATGACTATGGGACCAGCGTCCGTCCTGGCCCCCTTCCCCGTGGTGAATGAAAAACTCTGAACATAGTTCAAAGCGTTGGCTGTAAAAGTTCCTCCGTTAGTCGAAATGGACGATTTAAGACCATTGACCGCGGTAAGAAGACTCGCCTGATCCGCGTTGTCGTTCAGGTCGAATTCTTCATTATAAGTATCAGAGAAACTGACCACAGATACCTGGACGTCGTTCACACCAATGGTCAGTGCGGTGATGGTATCTTTGAGAAAATCAATAGCCGTGTCGAAGTCCGACTGGTCAATACTCCCCGACTTGTCCACGACGAAAACAACATCTGAAAAACAGGAACAAATTCTAAGACGCGTTGAGGAAATGCCAGTAATTTGTCAAAGCATCAATGACATCTTCGTATTGAACATACATTGTCGGGTGTTGCACTTATTGAGGAGCGATGTTTTACCGGTTATTTCAGTAGGTCAATTATCTTTTGTAAAGATAAGGATAAACTAAAGTGTTTGGAAATCTATATTCAAGTCCTTACTTGATATATAACAATTTATTTCGGTGCAAATCTGTAAATGATCAATATCTCGTCTCAATAATAATAATAAGAATTGGAGGTTCTTATATACCGCTTTATCACAACCTTGTTCGTAGGTCGTCTCAAAGCGGTTCCCAAATTATTATCCGTGGTTATAGGGCCTTTGCAACCAGCCAATACCTTTCTCAACTCCCTGGGCACATACAGCCGGAGCTGCCATTTCGTCGCTAACAGCTAGCATTCAACAATTGTAGCACTGCCCAACCACGTACTCATTTACAGCTGAGAAGAATGAGCTAGCGGGGTAAAAAAATCTTGATCAAAGATACAACACTACCGTGCGAACCCGCAACCCTTCGGTCACGAGCCCGGCGTCCTACCACTGGACTACCGTGCCTCTCAGGAGAGTAACAAAGTGCTAAGTAGAATAATGTCTGTCGCCAAACCAAAAGAGTTCTTTACGCAGACATTTGGCATACAAAGTAGTAGCTTTTACCAGACAAAGATAGCGTGCAGGAAAGATCGTCTTATTGTCTAATATGTCAACAATTCGTTATATGATGCGCTTTTGATTGTTATTTTCTATTTCAATTTCAACATATTTTCTTGACAAAAGAAGTCAACAGGATTGGACATCAGGCATTGCCTATATAATTCCTTTCCTTATATTACAGCTACATCCGGTGGTGAACACATTGTTAACATATACATCATATATACATAAAGGGGAAGTTACTCCAGCAGATTATATAATAGTGATTAAGGATTAGTAATAAAAAAAAGTTTTGCAAAAAAATAAACTAAGCTAAAGCTACACCTTTATATATATATATATATATATCATGGAAAAAAGTCAAAACATATATTTGGTAGATTTGGCCTTATCTCCCCAAAAGATACAGGCCATACAAAGGCCATTTGTCACACAATCGCCATCCACTAATGAAGTTCAAAAGCCAATTCAACCAAATAGATAGTTAGATTACTGGTAGGGTCACACCAACTCTAGAACATATTATGACTGTTTGTACATTTTCAAAAGCAGAAGTTACTTCATGTAGCTAGTTTGATTATACCCAATCTGTGGTCACCAGGGGAAAGTACATATACATGTATACTTTGTTATTAATGATCTTTATCATATAATCATAATATCAATCATGTGTACTTCAGCTATATTATAGGACCAGAACCAGGAGGAAACGTATGTGTTTAGATTAAATTGAATTAATTTAAGTTGAATTTAGCTAAATGTATTTCATAATGATATCTGCCAAGAGTCAAACGATTACTTGTACATAACATGACAAATATAACCAATTTAATTTCGATTCACGGTAAGGACTTGTAGCACGATATTAGGACATCTTTGTATTTGCACTATAAAATCTGATATATTTTTGAGAATATTTTTGTTTGGGGTGTCATTACAATTACCACAGCCATGTAGCAGGACATTTATACTAAAGTGATTATGTACATCATGATTATTAGTCTGCTGTAGAACGTGGCGAAGGATATCATACCTATTACACTCAAGACGATAGTGGGAAGCAGTTTCATAGCTTTTGTCGCATTCACAAAGTGGAGATTCAACTAAATGGTCTTTATAAAGGTCGTTATTTAGGTTACTTGCACCATTTCCTCGCTGACAAGGAATTGTGTATATTGCGATTTCCAGAAAATTTGAAAATATCGGTTGTTTCAGATTGTACATAATGATTTTGACCTAAAATGCTTATGAACTGCCTGGTAGACTAAACATTATGAATATTGGGGGCAATTTTATCAAATTCATTAAACATAGAAGGAAAAAAACCTTTCATAATAATTTACAGTACGACACAATGGTGGGTCAAATATTATTCTATATGTTCGTAAAGGATATCTATTCAGATTATCATCATGATCATAATTATCATTTTGATTGTAATTAATAACAATAGCACATCAAATAATGACCAACACACATCACACAATGACACAATTGCATTGAACATATATCTTCTAAAAAAAGTAATGGTTTTTCTTTACGATACCTCGGAATAAACTATAATTATCCTAAACATACGTCTTTGGGAAGTAAATTTGGACACGTGTTATTATCGACAATGCCAAACGAACCCGTAATAGACAGAGAAAAACAGTGAAGTATACACATATGTGTTACTGGACGAAGAACAAGAACATGAAAAGGTTCCTAAGCTGTCTAGTTGGAGTCGATGGAGGGGCATTACTTTTAACATGTATTGTGGAAATATTTATTCAGGTTATTGTTTATTTGCTTTAGCTGTTCTAATTATGATATTTACAAAGTGCAAACTATGCGTGCATTTATCATAGTTATATGATATTGGCTTATTTTTTAGATTATTAAGAAGAGAACTCCCATTCCAAACAAATGTGCTGGAATTTTGCCCTGAAAGATGGTAGACGTCTGCTGATGTTAACTGCGGCCTTTAGAAAAATTGAGAATAATGCCAGAATTATCGAGTATGGGGTTAATATAAAGGGTACCCGATCTTGTCATGGATCTTGCAGCTTTGACATTAAACATCATGGACTGCTCAAATCTAAAGGATTTGAGCTGTCCATGATTTGCAGTATCTCTGACGAATTCACAAAAGTCTTTCATTTGTTGAAATGTTCCAATCACAACATAGTAGCATGGAGCACGATTTGAAAGCTTGGAAGACGTGGCAGATATAATTTAGAAGGAAAGAGAGGCGTATGTAAAACCTTTGTTACATGTTCCAGTAACCTGTCAAATGAAGTGTCGTGTAATATAGGAGGTTACCATGCTGATAAATAATACCCTCTCTTGTGTTACTATGTCAAAGGAAGCGCATTAAACGTTTGCAATCCTACACCTAAATCTAGAACAACAGCTTTGACCGCAATTTGTATATAACCTCATAGAGCCTCGGTTCCCAGTGATCTACAAAAGTTTTCCTGAACGTGTCTCCATGTCTACGGCCACCTTCATAATATCACGCGATGTTTTGCTTCGATGTTTCGCTAAATCACACCTTTTGTTTCGGTTTTATCCCTACTGAAATAGTGTGAATAATTGTCAGAACAACAGGTGACTTATGCAAGGTATGGCCTTTTATTTTACACTTAACTCATATACAGATTCACAAGCTTATTGGTGCTGATTTATTATACAGTACTAGAAAAGATAATATTTATCTGACGGATGATAAATAATATCTACATTATGGCTGATAAGTTTGGGACCTCGAATCGGACCCCGCGTACCAGCACACCACACACGGGATCCAAAGCTCCGAAATGCCCTGAGCCTAACGGAAGACATGAGCTGGATTATGTGTTCAATTTTGATTACGATGGCGAATATCAAAAAAACAACAGGAAACTGAAACAGATCAATATGATATGTTGTGTTCAGCAGCAAACATGATTATCTTTTACTTCATTATGATACAGCAAAATATTGGGACTTCACGCTTCCTCTCAATTACCTATTTGACCACTTGCCTTCAGTACAGGCAAAGTATAATATATGTTTTAATCCGACAGCGGTTCACTCCAAACATGCTACAGTTTTGATATCGTGTCAATAAGCTTAATTCTAGCTTTTTCCTCTATTTTTAAAAAAAAAATTGACCCATACGTGCTTAATGTGGGGTCAGTATTTCACAAAGCTTGTGGTCTTTAGCTTTATAGCAATGACATTGAAACCTCATAAAACCGTTAGTTTATGTTCTTTAGTATAAGGCTACAAAACAGTTTTGAGATTTATTTTTATTTTTAGGCTATATTTGATTTTCTAGCGAGAATCTAAAGTTGGCCTTCGGCACACTAACAATACTGTAGTAAATAAAAGATATTTGAGCTTTGCTTTTGTCGTGTGTTTTTTTTCAGGAAAATAGTTTACATCCATCTATTATATCGCCATTTATATAGGAAATGTCAAAAGATCTGAAAGAAGAAATGTTTTTGAGGAAAAGATGCTCAAGTTTCATTGAAACGTTTTTTAGAATTCTTCAAAATCCACTTTACATTTATTCAATTTCTTGAGAAAACGTTATCACAATGCAAGTGTAACTCTGATTTGATGGTTTTAAAATGCTAGAATTTTTGAAATTCAAATTTTAATTAATAATAAAGTAAAAGTATATCCGTACTTAGGACACTTCATGGAAAGCTCTCGTACTCTTGCATAATGGATGGTCTATAGATTGTCAGTTACTGCGTGTTCAGCAGGTTCACAGTTTTCTGGAGATGTAGAACAATAATTCGAGGATTAGGGGCCGTGGTGGCCAAGTGGTTAAGGCGTCTGACATTCTGCTATCACTAGCCCTTCACCACTGGGTCGCGGGTTCGAGACCTACGTGGGGCAGTCACCATCATGTTCTGGCCGTAGGTCGGTGGTTTTTCTCCGGGAACTCCGGCTTTCCTACACCACGAAAACCTGGCACGTCCTTAAATGACCATAGTTGTTGGGACGCTTCCTCTCAATTACCTATTTGACCACTTGCCTTCAGTACAGGCAAAGTATAATATATTTTTAATCCGACAGCGGTTCACCCCAAACATGCTACAGTTTTTTAGAATAACGAACAATAACGAACAAACAAAAATTGAAAGCTTGGAAGAAATTGGTTTAGAATTATTGTAAGAAATGACTGGGGTAATTTTGTTACTGATGTTAATGACATCTATATCCTTATTGGCAATTTCGACTTTTATAAAAAAAAAGTTACCGAAGAGTTATGACTACCCGGAATACTACTGGATAATGGCAAATATATTCCAAAAATTCAGTT